CCCCAAAACCCCAAAACCCCAAAACCCCAAAACCCCAAAACCCCAGTCGATGAGTAAATGGTTGAAACGGTTAATATTTTCATAAAATGTCTAAATAAGAAATATTTCATAAGGGTCTCCTAATAGAACTTATTCAATTTATGATGGGAATTTTTAAGTCCTCTTTCTGGTATTACTGTTGTAAGGCAGCAAGCTGCCTCTAATTATCCTGAAATCACTAGGTATTCGGGCATCATATTGATCCTCATTTAGTCTGAAAATCCTCCCATCTGGGTAATTCGAGTATTTTATGTTTTGGTTCAAGAAATTTTCCCTTGATTTTCGAATTGTTGGCTTAAAAATTAGAGGGATTCCGTCTAGATCTTATAAAATGAGCTTACCTTTAGGATTAGAACGAGGGTCGATCATATCCTTCAGGCTATACTTGAAGTTGTCATAGTGCTCATCCCTCGTTTTCTCATTGGTGAACTCAGAGTCTAAAAACGATGGGACAATATCAGGTAACTTCTTCTGCTTCCTTATCGTCTTAATAGAGAAGTGCTCTTTGAGTGAGCTTTTGCGTATAAACTTCCTTTTGTCCCGGTCCTTCTTGATTTTGCCTTAAAATAAATTAGACTCATAAAAAATTGCTTACGGAGATTATTAGTCTGTGGCTTGAAGTTGAAGTGATCTTTTGGCCTCCTTAGCTTAGTTCTGTCCCTTGCTTTAGTGTAGTTCTGCATCATAATTTCCATATTTTTGGTCGTGGATCTATTCCTGACGAGACCCTTTCTTTTGGGGAGAAACTTTTGAGCCCTTCTGGGCTCGATCTGATCCTTTCACGTAGTCTTGTCAAGTGGAAATTTCACATCAGAGTCCAAAGTCTGCGAGTTATTCAAACAGTTTTCTTGAAGTTTAGTATTTGACCGTTGAAGCAAGGAGCTATCAGCCGTGGCCAAGGGCAGCTTCGCGTTGCTCTTGTTCATATAGGTTGATGGGATGTTGATGTTTGATGACCTTGCTTTCTTTTGTATTCAGGGAAGAGACAGTATTTCCTTAGCTGTCGGCCTTTTGGAAGGATCTTTTTGGACTCACCAAAGGTAAATATTCTGAAGGTCATCCTCCCCGTCTCCGAGCTTGAAGTTTATCTTTATGTTCGATTTCAAAGGTGAGCTGTTTAATACAATGACATTTTTAGATTGGCTGGCGGGAAAGTGATTAGTGGAGCCTTCCCTTCTGTTACTTTTGCCTTGAGAGTTTCGAAACTGGTGGAATCGAATGCTCTCCTATTCGTGCATAACTCGTAGATGATACAGCCTAGACTCCAGATGTCGACTTTGCTATCATAACTTTCTTTATTATAAATCTCAGGAGCTGTGTAACAAGGTGTACCTCAATTTAATGAGAAATGATTTTTAGATGAGCCCATAATAGCGCTGCTCAGGTCTCCGACTTTGACTCTACTCTCACCTGAAATAAATATATTTTGAGGCTTTAGGTCACAATGAATAATTCCTGATTGGTGTAAATAAGCAAGAGCAAGTGTCACTTCTATTATTATCTTCCAAATTCGATGCTTTGGGAGACATATAGCAGTTGACATGTACTGGCTTAGGTCCCCTTTCATACAATACTCAGTGATTATATAAATATTTCCATCTTCTACAAAGTAATCATGCAGTTTTATTAGGTTCCGATGGTTAAGCTTACAAAGGATGGCTACTTCCTTCATCTTCTGATTCTTATCAAATCGGCCGTCATGACCGTCTGAGACGGTCATTTCAAGATTTTTTATGGAATTTCCACGATTTTGGATAGAAATCTTCTTAGCAACAAGTACGGCTTGGTTCTCTTTATTAACATTCTTAACCTTATATCAAACGCCCAGGGCACCTTCGCCTATTTTATCAATAACGGTGTATTATTGCTTGCCGACCAAACCCTTAGAGAGGTGCCTAACAGGAAGAGTCGAGCTAGGACAAGAGCTAAAGCTAGGAGTAGTTCTTAGCATATTAAGTCTTCATGATTTCATTCTTAATTAAAATTCTATATAACTTCTCCATTTGGGGTTTTGGGGTTTTGGGGTTTTGGGGTTTTGGGG